TCGATAAAGAAGCTTTGGCTATAGTTTTTGCTGTTAGGTATTTCCACCAATATGTTTTTGGGCGACAATTCATTTTAAGAACTGATCATAAACCGTTAGTGAGTATTTTTGGAGAAAATAAAGGGATACCAGTTATGGCTGCACATAGGCTTCAGAGATATGCAGTGTTTTTATCAGGGTACTCATATAAAATTGAATTTATTAATGGGGTAAATAATGGTAATGCTGATGCCTTATCTAGATTACCTATCAAAGATTCGGATAACATTAATGATGCTGAGAGTGATAATTTTTTTATTAATTTAATAATGACAAATATAAAATCAATTACTGATTTAGATATTTGTACAGAAATTAAGGAAGATAAAGTGCTACGTGAAGTTTATTTTAGGGTATTATCTAATAAATGGCCAGATAAGATCAAAAAAGTAAAGGATGAATTAAAGCCTTATTTTAATCGAAAAAATGAATTAACCATTGAAGTAGGGTGTTTGTTATGGGGACATAGAATAGTAGTACCTGGTAAATTCCAAAAGGAATTATTAAATGAGTTACATCATACGCATATGGGCACGGTTAAGATGAAGTCTGTGGCTAGGTCATATATCTGGTGGCCTGGTATTGATTATGACATACAGAACATCACAAAAAGTTGTGTTGCTTGTTTAGCTAATAGTAATAATCCACCTAAAAGTGTATTACATAGTTGGCCCTGGCCAGAAGGACCATCACAACGTATACATTTAGATTTTCTGGGACCTGTAGATGGTAAAATGTTCATAGTGATAATTGATGCTTTTTCAAAGTGGTTATATGTTAAACATTTACTTAATATTACTACAGTATCAACTATCAAAGTGTTAAGGGAATATTTTTCTATTTGGGGAATTCCAAAAAAATTAGTCACTGACAACGGACCTTCTTTATGTTCTTATGAAATGGAAGAGTTTTTAAAAATTAATGGTGTTACACATATTAAGACTCCACCATATAGTCCTTCGACTAATGGAGCTGCAGAAAATGCAGTCAAAACCTTTAAGATGTTTCTTAAAAAGTGTGCAAAAAATTCAGATATAGAAGACAACATAAGTAAATTTATTCTAGCATACAATAGTACAAATCATTGTTCAACTGGGGTGAGTCCTGCAGAGTTACACATTGGTAGACAGTTGAATATAGCATTGGATAGGTTAATAGTCAAGGCAAAATATAATTATACAAAAAGCTTAGAAAGAGCCAAGGAAAATTATAAGGGTGGTAGAACAAAATCGTATGAAATTGGAGATGAGGTTATGTGTAGGAATTATGGAGAAGGGAATAAGTGGATACAGGGAAAAATTATACAACAATTATCACCTGTTACATACTTAATTAAAATTATTAAGGGTAACATTTATAAGCGACATTTAAACCAAATAATTGATTGTATGAATAAAAATGGAACAGAAGTAGAAATTAATGGAGATTTATTAGAAGAATTACAAAATGCTGATAATAATAAGGGTAATATTAAAGAACAAATAGTTATAAGTGAAAGTGTTAAAGAGGCAGAAAAAGAAGTAGAATTGGAAACAGAGGATAAAGTTGAGGGGGTGGAATTGAGGAAAAGCCGTAGGGTTATTAAACCTCCTGTTCGTTTAGATTTATAGACTATTGAATGTTAATTTATTATTATTATTATTTAATTATAATGTTCAAATTATTTAATAATTAATATGTACAATATTACTTATATTATTACTTATATTATTTTTTTTATTATTATACAATTAATATTATATTATATTCAATAATTTTATATGAAATGTAATTCTTATGTAAGTCGGGAGGACTGTAATGTATGTAGTATTCCATGATAATTAGTTTTAAGGTTATGTTTTTATGATATACTCTCTTGCTGAGTATTGTAATGTGTATTGAAACAACTATGTCTAATAAAGTGAATATTTAATTAATCTAATGTAATGTGTTAATTATTAGTACTCGGTACACCACAATATATGTATATATACATGCAGTACATTATTAGTACAATGTACGCATAGAATAAATATTGTAGACGTTTTGACACTGGCAATTCTCACTTGTTTTGTCTCCACAACACACTTTGCAGTGGTCTTCTTTCATAACGGTATATTAAAATATAATATTGTATACAAAGTTTGTTTTATTGAATTCGCTAAACAAGTTACTACATCATCATCACTCGCGACACTTTTCAATTCATTTTCAACGGTATATTGATTTAAAAGTTTGCGAACGAGTACAGCTAGCGAACGAGTACACCGCGAGTCGACAAAATGTCGCCGAAATCGTAATTAGTCATACCTTGCTATGCTGAATGCGTGAAACGAGACAAAATCGTGTATACCGCGAATTCACAAAAAAGCGTTTATCATACGGGGGACTTGAAGGTGATAAAGTGCTAAAACGTCTATAAACCCACGTGTCCCGCCGAAGTGGCCTGTCGCATATTATTATGATTGATCGGGTATCCGAGACGTATAATTATTAATCAGCTCTTTTGTCGGCCCCTCGTACAGCTAAAGCTCCTTCGAACATCCCCGTGCAGTTATCAATCACGACATTGTGCCGGTAGCAGATACTAATTGGAACCTGGTTTAATCGACCAGCCGACCGTCGCAGGCTTTTAATGACACCGTCATTAATTATTAACGTTCGGTGATTATTGTGACTACCGCTACACCATACCTCCGCTACGACCACTACACTAATACCATTGATGCCGACTATTACTACTACTACAATCTCAGTCTTCAGTTGTACATTATCCTGTAAACATATATAGGTACACCGGCAACTGTTTCCAGTCGAGTAGGTATTACGAATATTATTACTGTGTATAAAGTAAAGTGATGTAAATGTCACTTACTTACGCCACCAGCAATAATATTATGTATGGTCAATACGAAATGTCCAATATTATAAAGTTGATAGATTAAGGGCCGTTCTTACAATGTCCGGTAAAGTGTCGGTTAACGATAACCATTGTAAGAATAGCCCTAAACTTGTAATCAATATTATTATATTGTGCAGAGATATTTTACGCCACATAGGTACCAATGGTACCATAGACGTTTTAAATAGTTTTAAAAATATGTCATGTTAAGATTAACCGTCATAATATAACCATGTATTTCATTCAAGTTCAAACATAATAAAACGTTTACGACATAATACTATTTGGTAATAAAATCGTCTATGTATAACGATCGAACATTTATACATGGATATGCATACTTTAATCGAAGATATTTCGTTTTAATACTAAGATTACACAATATACTATATGAATTTGCAATTCATATACTATAGACTATACTAAACATTCATGTTTTTGTTTTATTATAGGTACCTATAATATAACTCATAAAAAACATTTTAATAGTAGGTAGTTATAACTAATAAGTAACAACTTATATTTGTTTTCTAAAAATATAATAGTACCGTAATAAAACGGTTGTAAGTTGTAACTATCGTGTGGTACTATTGTTTTTTTTTTTTTTTTACAGTACCATTGAAGGTATAGTTAAGTTATTTTGAAAGAGCATTGTAATTTGTAGCAGGAGAGTTCAGCTTAAATTAAATGAGTGAATAAAATAATACGGGCTTCTGATGCAAAGATTTTTTTGTCGTTATTTTTTTTTTTCGTTTAATCATGTTCATTAATTAATTTAATTATATTAATGTTAAAATACAACCTGTATAATTGTTTGGTAAATATGTGAGGAAAAAAAAACATCTAAAAAGTCCGACCTGTAGTTATTACATATTATTATTGTAATTCGAGCTATCGAATTTATCTTTTAGGAATTGTAATGTTGAGTGGTAATTTTCTGTACAAAGTAATCTAAGGTATCCTATTTTGTAAATGGTAATATAAAGAATAGTATTATTATACTCTATTCAGCAACAGTTAAAACACTCACTCGACGAAATAAGAATTTGATAAGAATTCGGACCAGTGATAAGAAATTATAACTGATAACCTTAATCAATAGTTTGAATTATAACCTAAAAAAAAAAAAAAAAAAAAAAAATAAGTACGGTAATATTGTTCATAGTACTGTAATTTTGTCATATTTTGCCCGCTGACTAAATAAAAAAAACATTGGCAACGCTGGGCGGCTAAGTAAAAATTATTTTGTAATTAATATACTTGTGAAACATTGCAACTCTTAATTTTCTTGAAGATTAATTATTGATAATGACCCTAAACAGAAATGTTCAAACGTAGGTATAAAATATATTATGACGTATTTAAAACTTTAAAATATAGTAAAATACGAAGGTCGAAGGTATGCTATTATTATGATAGATTAATTGCTAATTGTAATGTGTTTGTTGAATGTTTAAGCTAGTTTGATGGGAGTACCACACATCACAATTCTGGGTATAGCGTATTTGTACTTTACGGTGAAAAGAACAGATTTCGTATTCTCCGCAGCTATCTGTAAGCCTAGGTTAGCAATCTCGTTGGAAATTCGTGCCAGAACTATGTTTGACTGCGTTTCTAAGTCATTCACTGTTTTTGCCTAGATCACTACCAGACTGTCATCGGCCAACCCGAGAATTTCGACTCCAGTGGGCAGTTTTATTTTGAGCACAGCGTTGTATGTTGCGTTTTAGAGCAGTGGGCCAACCACCGAACCTTGTGGCACTTTTCCAGTAATGGTGACCTTTATTGTCCCTCCGATGGAAGAGTGCGATATCACTGTTTCTGATCTGTCGGAGAGGTACTAGCCAAACATGTGCTGGAGATATTGAGAGGGGAAGGGGTGTGACATAGCTCGAGGGCACTCATGACGTCTCTCCATATAATTGATTTGAAGGCATTTCTTATGTCTATGCTTACTGCTACACAGAAGTTTCCCTTGTTGACTTCACCCACCACTATTTTTTGTAGTTCGCATCCAGCATTATCCGTTGCCAAATTTTACCTGAAGCCATATTTCTCCCATGTCAATGTATCTCTGCAGTCATGTACTCAGGAGGCGTTCAAGAACTTTTCCAACGTCATTTAGGAGGCAAAGAGGGTGGTAAGACGATTTCATCCCTTTCGGCTTGTTACCTTTTCTGAGGAGTACCACCCTTCCTTCCTTCCATCGTATAGGAAATATGCCACTGGATAGACAGTTGTTAAATATGTTGGGAAACATTTGTGGGTAAACTTTTTGTACTGCCCAAATAATTCGGCTTGTAATCCAGTCTGGTCCAGGGGCCTTATTTATTGTTCTGACCACGTTAATAGCGTTGTTCACTTCTTGAGTTGAGAACAGCTCACAGTCTAGTAATTCTAGGTGTCCTTGAAGTAGCTCATTTGTGACATCGTGATTTGGAAACAACGTGTCTATTATAGTCCGTTCGCATTGCGGCTCCATCGTTACTGTAACCGGGGGGCCACCTCCCAACTTACGCATTACCATTTTATACGGTTTCCCAAATGGGTCTCTTTCTACTGACTCTATAAGCTCCGTCCAACACTTCTTTTTGCTTTGTAGAATGGCGATCTTCAATTCCCGTTTCGCATCCTGGTGTTTACCATTTGACATCTCTAGCTCGGCTTCCGCTCGGGCATGGTCAAAGTCAACTCCAGAATCTATTGCTTGCTGTCTTAGTCGGTGTATGTGGGCTGCCATTCTTGTTTTCCACCGCTTGACCCTAACACACTCCTGTCTCAGCTTGGATATCTCGTTGTTCCAATAGTGGACAGGTGGTTTTCCCGCCCTAGGGGTTCTTCTCTTGGACATTGAGAAATCACAGGCTGCTGTTATTAGTTTCGAGTTCGTCATTGGGTTTTGGGTCAATCCATTCTGTCACCAGGATACCTGTATGTAGAGAGTATAAGTCAATTCCACCTACAGTTTCCCAGCCAATTGAATTGGTGGCAGCGGTGTGGAACCCTATGCCTGATAGGCTAATTTAAGAAGGGAGAGGTCCAACCCAGTGAGGTGTTAAAATGGGAATTTTGGGATTACGGATGGACATTTTTGTTTATAAATGGTTGCCATGAGTGAAGTCGTATAAAATGTGAGTTCTAGAAATTTCAATCCAGAACTACATTGAATCGTTTTATTTAGTGGCCACAAGATCAAAAAAACCATTTATTATATTATAATACATCGACTATTTGTACATATACATATTCAATCAGTATTATTATTATTTTGCGTTTATATAAGCAATGATGGTTTTTTAAGCTATATAATAATAATAATAAAAAAAAAAACTATTTGGTTTAATTTTTAAATATAAATTATAATATAATACCAAACTAAAAAATGTGAAATGAAAATCTCTGTACAGGCTAAACTCTAGAACTACGCTTATCAGATCTTCTTGATTTTTTTTTTTAAACGAAAGAGTATTTTGCGGAGAAGGTTTATGGGAAAGAAAATTTTATGAAAATCCACCGGTGTATAATATATTGGTTGCTATTGGTTAATCGGGCATGTTTGTTGATTTGTATTATTATCTTTTGTCAATATACATATATATATATAATATATACAAGAAGATCTGATAAGTAGTTCCAGAGTTGAGTCTGTATAGTTATAGTCTATGTATTTATATAGTTCGAAATATATATTTATAAATTAATGTTTGTGGGTAGATTAGACTACTAAAATATGTCCCTGCTTAGGAACATTACAAGTAAACAATGTTGTATATAATATTTGAATATTTATGTTAAAAAGGCTTAAATTCTAAAACATAAATATTACAGCCATATACTTCTTTAAAACGCGATAAAAATACTCGAGTTTTGTACGTCCCGTAAATAAATGTTTTAGGAATATTGATGTTTGAAAAGATCGATGTATCTACGCCCGAAGCCGTATAAATGCCCTAAAAGTGTAAAACATTATTTTAATACAACTAGTCATTATATTATATACTATTAGTAAATAATCAATTTTAGTTGTGTTCATTAAATTATTTTTAATGATACAATTTACTTGATGTCATAATAATCACTTATTATTATTTATAAAATCATTTATTTTAATATATACCAATGATGATCGAAAACGCTATATTGACTTAGTTAAACTTGATTAATGATATATTCATTATAATAATCCGTTAAAAATATACTCATAAATTGATTTTATATAAAATTAGATAACGTGTTATTTACCGGTGGTATTGGGCATGTGGCATTCTTTACTCCCATTCCGCTCATAACTTTGGTCCATTCTGTCCCCAGTAAATTCCTTATCGACGAACAACCATTTGGTGACTTGTGAATAAAAGTATTTTCTTTCCAATGTCCATCTGCACCTTTCATGGCGAAATTGAATTCTAACTGGAAAATAAATCTTGAGAGCTTGATGATTTGTTATTATTAAAAGAGTAACGTATTATTATAGTATGAACTTAGCAATTAAGATATAAATATATGTATTATAACAATATTTGTTTGGGTTTATACACATCGAGACATTTCAGTGCCGTAGACATAGATGAATTATATTATGTTTGAACTGTGATCGCTGTTTTCATCAAGTTATAATTTCAGACTGCAATTTATGGGGTATTGCAAATTTTTAGATTTTACATTTTGTAAATATTAAAAACAAGATCCCAATCAGAAATTTATGTCTTACCCCGACACTCGCAAAGGGCGCTGTAATGCGCCTGTACTCGTTACCAACAGTTGGCCGATCCTTACGAGCACAGTACTGGCTAAAATTAGTGTTGCAAAAAAGTCGCAAAACTAGTACTGGCACCAGTGTTAACTCAATACTGTTTTACTACAGATTCCAAATGAATAGTGAGCAAGGGCAAGTTAGTGTATATTGTAGTTGGGCCAAGCATTGGTTGAGGTAAAGGCTAGCCAGTGCAGTCTCTCGTAGCTGTGCGAAGCCTTTGCTAAGCACTGGTATACTACAACAGGCGTCGAGCGGTTCTATGAATAATCATTAAAGGCTAGCCAGTGCCGTAGACATCTGCATAGGTGAATTATGTATTTGAACTGTGATCTTTGTTTTTATTCAGTTGTAATTTCAGACTGCAATTATGGTGAATTTCCAGAAAACCACATTTTGTAAATATTTAAAACAACATTATGCGCAGCTGGTACTTACAAAAAAAGTGTCGTCAAGTGGTATGCTATACGTCATATTTCCTTTCATTTCTGTCACGTTAGATTTGGGATTATGGGACAGGTAAAAATTGAATTTGAAAGATTCATTATCTTGCAAAATACCACAACTCTTAATCATCTTGAAAATTAGCTTATATTGGCCCTAAACAGAAAATGTATTCATTAGGTATTCCGTATTTAAAACTATAGTAAATTAATAAGTAAGCTAAATATTATTATATATTTGTTAAAATGTTTTATTAAAACTAAGTTTTTTGCCGAAGTGATGAATATATTGGTTTAATAATGACGAGTGTTTCACTATTCATGCGTTTTCACGGTTTGGAGCAAAAACAATACTTTAATCTTGAACGTCTAGGATTGCTTACTGGCTTCTAATAGACATTTGAATCTAGTTGTAACTTAGGAGAATACAATAAAGGGCAACAAATCAAGAAAAATTAAAAAAAAAAAATCCCTGGGTATATCCTAATAAAGGCTAAAACAATTATTATAGTTTGAAATCTTATAATAATTAATTTTAAATGAACATCATTCATACACTTTTAAAAAACTTATTTTTTTATAATTATCTTACTATAACTTATCAATGAATTTAGCACTTCCTAAGTTCTAAGTATATTACTATAGTTTTTTTTAGTATTGTTATTTAATAAGCACTAATTTATAACACATTTATTAAAGCACGTTAATCGAGTCATAATATGTACATTTATTTACAAAATCAAATACATAAAAAACTATTTAAAATTAATGGAATTATAATGTTTTGTAAAGGTTTCAATAAAATTGTAGTATTTTCAATCATCAAAGGAAAAAGTTTTATAGGTTGGAAATAGAACTTTTGGATCCAACTCAAAATTTAATGAACTAAATTTATGTAAAAACATTTTTTTTTTAACAATATTCACATACATTTATAACTCATACACAGAAGAAAATTACTTTATCTGAGAAATATGTAAAACATCCAGTGTTCGGAACGTTCACTAAAAAAATGAACTCGATCACGTTCACGTTGAGTATTTAAGTTTATAAAGTATCTGAATTAATTTTTAATAACTTACACGTTATTTGGGTTACATTTTGATAAGGATTTCCTAGTGATAAAATAAAATTAAGCAAATACTAGGGTAGGTACTTACCCATTTATTATGATAACCGATTAGGTATATTACAAATTCGTGAGAATCATAATATTATTGTTGTTGTAGGTATGTCTAACCGGGTACACTGGAATTTCATGTATTTAATTTATATATTTTGCAAACAAACGAATATTTTAGGAATTATAATGTTAAAAATGAAAATATTATTATTATAATATAATTAATTAATGTATTTTAAACATATAAAATTTATTAAATGGTAAATAAATTGAACGTCTTAAAAATCGATCAAGTTCATTAAAAATATAAACGTCGTTCACGTTCATGTTCTATTTGCAAAAAACGAGAGACGTTCACGTATCGTTCACTATAATATATTATATGAACGTGAACTCGTGAACGTGGGTTCATGAACGACGTTCTTTCCAAACACTGAAAACACCAACAGTCTGTCTTATTCATATTGATATCACCTCTCATTATTTGGTAATTAGAAATGTTATAGATTATGAACATTTGAAGAAATTTGATGATACGTATAGATTATTAAAATGTAATCACTTACGAATGGTAACGCAGGGAGAATATTTCTGGATCGAATACACAATATTAAAGTCGGTCGAAACAATAACACAGTTAGTAAATTGATTAAAACAAAATTCATTTTAACGGTTTTCAGTTTAGATTTTCTTCCACACTATGTAAAAATAGTTTTATACTTTAAAATAATATATATTTATAAAGCACATATAAAGCTGTCTTACCTATTTCGTTCCAAAGGACATATTTACGAATAACGTTGATAGTATTTATTGCGACGTGTTTTTATGTTGTTCGGGTATAATTAATTTTATCTCATTAAATTATCGTCGTGTTGGTCGATTACAGTAGGTACATTATATTCTAACTTCCTTTGTAACATTGCGCTGGTGACCATGTGAGTTGTTACTAAACATATTTTAATTTTTATCTCGATGTTCAATGTTAATTATATACTGATATATATTGTGGTTGAAGAATTATGTAAAATGTGTAGGTACCTATGTATTATTATATATGAATGATAACTGATAAAAGGTAAGTATAAAAATAGTGGAGTGTGAAATATTGGAACTGTATGTCATAATAATCATAATGAATGACACATATAATATTTTTTGTAATAACAAGTTTATCTATCAATCATATTAAAATATAATCTAAAATACAATCATAGACAAACCTAAGAGTTAAGTGTTTCATGAAGTAAAAATAATAGAATAGCAACTTGGTATTTCAGAAATAAATTTTTTTAACTAAATTAATGTACCTAATAAGTATAGGATGTCCCATAAAGTGCGCAACATATATGCCGCCATTTTTTTAAAATTTTTTTGGCAGTCCTGTTCTTATCATTTTTAGTATCTACTATTACTCCGATTTGATTAGTAGTTGTTGATAAGAAATTATAAGAACAGGACTGCCAACAAAATATTAAAAAAATGGCAATGTCAACAGTGGTTTCTCCTCTGGTCCTCAATACCACATAAAAAAAAAAAGGTATGTAATATTATAATTGTAACAACTCAATACCAATAGAATATTATAGTCACAATAGATTAACAACATTTAACAGTAAATATTAAATAACAAAACTAAATAAAAGTATACTATCGCTAAGTATATGTAATTTTGCCCGAGAAAGTACTGCAAGTTTTAATGAAGTGTATTAATGAAAATGTACTAGTATTAGACTTATTATAACAGTACTATAATATAACTCACTTTTAAACTTAAAATAAACGATCTTAAGTACAACAAAATGTAATATTTAAAAATTAAATATTCAGGTTGATAAAAAAAATATATATACTTTTCCCAGAATATATGATTTTGTTTTAATGTACAAGCATTGAGCGTTTTAGCTAACATCATGTATAATCATGCATAGGGGGGCAATAAGTCATGTAATTGAGACAACTATCAATTTTGATGTGTAAATAATTAAAATTTAAATACTAAAAATATAAACATTGATGAAAGTAGGTGAAGTACAACTGGTGAAGTACTAACAGTGATTACTTATTCTTCAGTCACATATATTATTTATTAATAAATATAAATAGATACATTTAAAGCATTATTTCATTCATGACGAGTTTTAGATATTGAAAATTTGACAAACTTGATCAACATTTGAAATACGGTATATTATTTTATAAACTATAGGAATGATTAATCTAGTTATATAAACAAAAAAAAAAATTAGTGCTGTCATTAGACATCCGGTAGAAACGGAGTTTCTTTTCCAACAAATATTATAGATTACAAATAGGTACATTTTAGTGGAACCATTCAAAATAAAAGCAAATGTGAAAAATAAAATAAAATAATTATTATTACTATTTAATTACTGTTATATTAATCATATTCAATAATCGAAATTACAGGCCTGTGATAAATGAAATATGATACGTATATGTTTGTGATGTAATTTTTTCCAAATATCTTGAAAATATCGCATCGATAGTGGTGTCATCTCTCGTTGTAGTCTTGTAGGTTCTGCTGGTTTATTTCTCATTATATGTAAATTGAATGTGTCCATAAGGAAAGTTTTAAAAGTTTCCGATTTCTTATCATTAAAACTGATGTTAAAGTCACCAAATTGTTATAATTTATAAATTATAATAATTATAAATGCATAATATTCAGATCTTATTTTCAAATCCTATCGCGTTATACCCGTTTTTTATTACCTAGTGTATACCAAACGCGACACACAAAGAAATGTAATCTCAGCAAAGGTAAGCACTATATAGGGATATATGCAACAATCAGATTATTCTACGAAAACAATTTCATGAAATAAAAATGTTTACGCGTCATGCAATTAGATTATAAGATGTTTATAAGATGTAACCAAAAGTGTATGCATTGAGAGGACCGTGGTATAGAATTCAGTGACTGGTTGTGCATAGAATACACGTGATATACGAGCCCAGCAGTTTTGAAGATTTCCACTTTTTCCCCCGGCACTATATAGGGATTCCCATTCCCACTTTACGGCCATCTAGACGGAAAAAGGTCGCTTTCCAACGCTTCAACGACGGTCGAAAACCAAACTTTCGGTGTAGGCGTGACAAAAAATATATTACCTACGTACATTTCAATACTTATATATTATATTATATACTTATTACATAATATATATTTTATTAATTATAAAACGTCTAACGCTTCAACCGCGGTCAAAATCCAAATTTTCGGTGCAGGCTTGAAAAATATATTTCGTACAATTCAATACTTATTGAATATATATTATTATATATTATATACTTATTAGTTATAACTTATATATATTATTAATTACAATAATTAATAGCAGATACCTACATGTGCCAAGTTGAAAATCCTGCCAAACGATTAAACACACGTGTTTAGACCTACAGTACCCTCCCACATAATAAAAACCACCCCATGACCTAAGTTCCCTTGGGTTAATTAATAATAATAATAATAAAAAAAAAAATCATTAAATCATACATATAATTATTAATTATTATACATCATATTATTATAATATACCAATGACTTTGCACGAGTTTAAACGTAATATATTTTTATGGGTAATAATACTTATAAGTAATAACTAATAATATATAATAATTATATATATATAAAATTATATTATAATTATTAATGTGAAGAGATTTTAAAAGTATTAATTTAATTAATTTATATTGTAGGGATTTATAATTAATAGGTACCTGTTACACTGAATATATTTATTTGTAATTGATTAAGAGCTTTCACAATGCAAATTTATTATAAGATTGAATACGGCAGGGATACTAAAATTAGTACCTAGTTGCCAACTGTAACGCTTTATATTTCCTGTAACGTAGGATAATGCGGTGTGTAGAGATATTGAAGGTATTAAATTGTACATAAATATACAATATTGTTACAATTGAAAAAGATTAAGATCTTGGCTCGGTTAAAAATGATTAATAATATTGACATATTTATTATTATACCTATAATAATAAAAAGTTTGACCTTCACGGATGTCAGTATAGAATTTCTTCTCACATAGTAAAACGATTGAAAAAAAAAGGTACATAGAAGGAAATAATTATTATACCATAATAAATTGTACACCAACACATTCACATTCATTATCTATACCTCGTTTAGAACTATGTGCTGCGTTTGTATTGGCAAAATCACTGTTTCACATCCAAGAAGTTCTCTCAACATCAATCAAGATCTCTCAAGTACGGGCGTAGACTCATCAATTGTCCTTTCATGGTTGTCGTTTGAACAAAAATATTTTAAGATATTCGATTAAAATGCAAAGAGTTCTGGCTTATTGTCTCCGTTTTAGTCCTCGATCTAGTCATCAACCTGTACTAACTGGACCTTGTTCAGACTTGACTACAGACGCCTTTCTAGCTGCATTAGATCGTTTGGTGGCTCATCGTGAAACTCCTGCACATTTGTATTCCGACTGTGGGACAAACTACGTTGGAGCCTCTCGGCAAATTCAATCTATACTTAAGGACCCTGTTGTACAAGAGGAAATGATTTCTCACCTTCCGTGTACTTGGCACTTTAATACCCCAGCCCCGCCGCACTTCGGTGGGTTATGGGTTGTGCAATCAAGAGTTCTCGCATGAAGCATGTCATTGGTACTCAAATCCAAAAATTTGAGAAAATTCTAACTCTGGTTACCCGCATTAAGGGAATTTTGAATTTGAGACCGCTTACTCCAGTCTCATCAGATCCAAATGGTCTAGTTCCGTTAACGCCCATCCATTTTCTGATCCGGCATAACCATTGGACGCTCTTCCAGAACTCGACGTGTCACCGGTTCCCCTCAACCGACTAAATAGATGGCAGTTGATCCGTCAGTGTCACCAATCCTTTTAGAAAAGGTGGGCGAAGGAATATCTGACCACCTTACAAGGCCACCAGAAGTGGTTCCACAAAGAGGTGGATCTAGCTGTCGATGACATGGTCATCGAGGCCCCGAACCGGGCCCACTTCCGAATGGCGTTTGGGAAGTGTGACGGAAGTTCATCCTTTAGCAGATAAAACGGTTCGCGTCGTTACGGTGCGTACCAATGATGGAACCTACAAAAGACCAGTTGTTAAATTGGTTAGATTGCAAGTTGATCAATAAGTTCCTTGTCTTTCCACTTTAATGTTCCTCCATAAATGTATTTTAGTTTTCAGTTAATATAAGTTTGATCGCTCTCTCATCAAGGATCATGGGATGTTTTGGAAACCTGCGTCTTCCAACGTGGGGAGGATGTTCGGTACGTACGCCAGGTTTTGGACTTTTCCCCACGTTTTCGTCATTAACACAAACACCGCGCGACTGTTACGATATCTCGAGAGGGAAGCGTTATCGGTGTTCTACCGACGGTCTCTTCCCCGCCGAATGCGAGAACGTCGCAATGCCTTCAGTCGCGAAGTCGCCGTTTCTGTTACCTTTTCTCAGCCGCCTTGGCAAACATCGCAGTTTTTTGTTACTTTCGCGAACCGGCGCTCCGTCGTCGTCAATAACGGCATCTTGGCTTTCCGTTTGCTCTGAGTTAACTGTTCTGTGTCGTGCCCCTCGTTGCACACACAAACCACGTGTTGTGGCCGCCCGTGCCATAACCCCCGTAATTTGCCGTTATCGCCCATTCGCCGTGTTCGTCAAGTGTCCGTCGGCTGTTTTTGTCCAAGTCGACGTTGTGGTATGTTGTCGCAGCCCGGTCAATCTCCATCTACCCATTATCGGACAAACGGCAGCACCATTAGTTGTCAACATCCGCTATCAATCTCGTCACTATCAGGTCGTACACAGATGATTAATTTGTTTACCTTCTTCAGTTACCCGACGTATTATGATTTATATTTTTATGTAATTGAATTTTTTGTAGTTCGTATTGTGAACGTGCTCATATTTTACCAACACTAGCACGTATTTTCTGCCAAACCATTACAATAAAAGTGTTATAATAATACACGAAAACAACTATATTTTTACTGTCATCTATTTTCCTATTATCGTTTCCGCCTTACAGTCCACTACCATCGCACGGCAATTACAATGAGCCAGCTGCATAGTTCAAGCAATACCTGACGGCCACGTCTGCGCCGTCGAGACGTAAGGCTGCCACAATCAGGTTGCCCCCCAAACAGCTCTAATAGTTTTGGAAAAATTATTATATGACATGTTCAATATACTATTTAAAATAAGCAATTTTAGATCTAAATCATACTATTTAGTACTAATATGACAAATAAATAATTTTATGTTATAAAGTTGAACTACTGAAATGAAAAAAAATTATTAATAAGGTAATAATATTGTGAAGTAAATATTAATATATAATTAATTCTGAAATATAAAATTAAATATATTAATACAAAATATGTTGTTAATATTTGAACTTAAACGCTTATAAGAAAGCCATGTGTATATTTGAATTGAAACTTTTTGTAGTTTTAACTTTTAAGTGATATTTAGCTTTTCTGGAAATAAACGATCTCGCATGCAAGGACTTGCGTGGACTGATAGGATTTCAGGTTCAAGATCATAATACAAAAAATAATTTATTTTGTTTATTCTTTTTATTTATTCTAATTATTTTATTTACACTCATTTCATTATAGATTAATTTTATTTAGTTTTCGTTGTCACGGAAATATCGTTTCGTAAACATAATTTCGCTACACATTTTTCGGCATTCTAAATTCCGTAATGAAGTTTTATTAAAAAAATTGTGAATATTCATTTTTTTTTATATAGGTATTTGATATTGCTCTAAGAACAACTCAACTGGTAGAAACTATTGTATAAAATTTAATATTTTCAAGTTTTGAAACTTAAAAACAATAATTTTAAAATGTATAAATAAAAAAAAAACTTTAGAAAGTAGAACAATTTAAATTTCTATTAAAAGAACAAAAATATCAACAACATTTTAATAACAATTATATGATGTCTAGTAATTAATATGAATATAAATATTTTGTAGAAATTTCAAGTATCTACGGTTATTAATTCTGTAATAAAATGTACGTTACTTTATTGAAAAACCAATTCATTAATCGTTCCGCTTAGCTTAAAATTTAATATACAAGTTTGAAATTCGGAAGAATATTTTATGAATGAGAGACATATAAGTATATAACTGGGCATGCGTTAAACCTAATATACTATTTTTTTAAATCAATGTTTAAAAATGTAAAATTTTACAACTATTTAAACATATTAAACAGCTTTTTAAACTGACTTTAACGTTCAGTTACTGGGCCAATTAATTATTATGATAATATAATGTATATTTTATGAAACAGTTTATATTCACCAGTTTATTTTTGAACTTACCAAGACCATAATATTTGAATTATGTATCCGAATGTTTTTATATATCCTTAATGTCAAATATTATTTGATATATTATCATTGAACAATTGCCATTATTTACAATTTATTAAGTTTAAAAATATCAACAAGATGACACAATTGTGCATACCTACTTTAAATAATAATTTATTGCTCTGTGAATTAGTTAGTCTAATCAGTGGCAAGGGAGACTTTGTTATTGGCTCGTAAATTGCATTTATTAAAAATTGTTTGCAATACTACTTAAAATATGTATTCACTAAAATCTCGTATTTTGAACACGTCAAGAATAAAAATTACATTTAAAACTGTACAAACAACAATCGTCAGAATCAATGAAATCCGGGTGTGTGACTACTGACTTCCAATACTAAATATTTATTTCAATAATGACAGAACAGAAAATGCAAATTCAGAGTCAGCCCCAAATGTATTGGTTTTACAATAATGTGTGCTTTTAATTTTAGTTTTAGATTCTAAGAGGAGCGATGAATGTATCTGTTTTTGAGCAGTACAAATCAAATGCTTCAATTTGTTGAGAGTATATTCTGGTAACAAATTGGACCTATAGCTGGTACCTATTTTAGGTCAAAAGTAAGACATTCACTTGTTTTTATTAAATATCGGAAAAAGTTAAAGGAATATAAGGAATGACGGAAATATTTATACAAAACTAACTGTTGACAAAATCGATATTGTTATATCGATGTAATTCATAAACAAGTAACTTGCAATTTGAACTTACTATTTATATCAGAATTTTCTATACGTAGTATAATTATCAATATTTTTTAGTTGTTTTTAAACTATTTATAAAAATTTGAATTTTTCTATTTTTATAAGTTTATTTTTTATAAATGTTGTTAAAAGTGTTAAAACATTTGATGTTTGGCAAAAAAAGCTTGAACATACAAAATCCCATATGAGCTTTTCTTTGAAAATACATAATTGGTATACAGAATTTTTTTAAAGTAATTCAAGTACAATTTTTACTTTGTGTGATATTTAGACAAACATAACAGTTATTGTTTATTTATTGCAATTCAAAAAAACATTTTTTCTCGGGGACTAGTAAGTTTTTGCCCCTACTTAAAATAAGCTTTTAAAATAATTATATTTTTAATACGATATGGACGTATTCATACCGTTTTATGTGCAGTACGTGTGTATTGACTTATACATTAATAACAGCCAGTGGCATATTTAGAAATTGTTTAAGTGAGTTTACGAGGCATTGAATAACGAACATGGTAGTGGGGCTCCAAACATTTTGAATCGTCATAAAATATACATAACTCATGAATAATTCTGCATAAAAGATTTGCTTTTTAATTTATTTAATTTCAATATAATCATAAACAATTAAAGCAATATATCCATTATCCTTCAACAAACTCACTTCTCGCAGCGTTTTCGACCACAAAACAAAATATGCTGGTTATCTATATACCTATGTATAATGTATATATAAATGAATGTTTGTCCGTCTGTCCTTTATGCATTCCTAAACGGCTGGATCGATTTGATTAAATATTTTGTGTGTGTTTAAGTGGTTTTCCTGGATGATTTAGATTCACAATTGGACCTCGTCGGTCCAACCGGTAGGGGTGGGGGGGTTATCAAACAGGGATTATCAGATTTACGATGGAAATTGCCGTTTATAAATGGTTGCTATTGGTTATAGGAGAAATAATTAGTAGAAATTAGTAAGTATTTAAGTAATTTTTGTATATTGGTATTTGGTTGCCACGCACGCACACATCAAATCAAATTTTTGCACTTGCCTACCAAGGTGGCTGAGTTGCACTTATAGCCGCTCATTCGAGTGTCCGCAATCCACCTGAGATGGATTATTGCTTACTGTATGTGTCATCACACATTTTCCGCGATCCTACGTATGGCTAAGTTGCACTTACTGCAGCCAGTTACACCAGAAAGGAGTTGAACAATCAAAATGTTTTTTAATAGTTTTAATTTTTTACCGGCAACATAGTTATGAACAGCTAGTTATTAATAAAATAAAAATTATAAACCCAATATTATTTTATTTTAATTAATTCAGATATGTCCAGATTACTATCGCAGTATCTCAAAACCCTAGGGACCCAAGAAGCACTGATGTTTGAGAACCTCTGCTCTATAGTGTACAAGAAATTCTACATTGGTATTCAATACAATTCAAATGTAATGACAATTTATCATTGTTTTTAGTACTTACATTTCATTGATAATTTTTATAAAAATAGTAAAAATCGAGTTTCCTTTCTTTGGTGACCATTTGATCAATATCACCATAAATATGTATACCTATTTTGATTTTTAAATAAATTTAATGTAAATAATACTAAACTGTTAACATCAGTACACTGTACATAGCAAGACACAAGTCCCAAAAACTGACTAAGACTAAAACAGTAGCCAGTAGTTGCTATAAGTACTAAACTACTAAGTAGTCGGTAAAATATTCAAAACCAATTTATGAACGTGAAATAGGCGTCGCACTGACAAAAATTAAGGTACCTCTAGTGGTTCGATTTAAAAAATGTAAAGATGTTTGTGTTGTTAAACAAGTTTACTTTGCATCTTTTGGAACACTTTTTCAATTTTAGCAAATTATTGACGAGAATAAATGTTTTACATTTTATAAATTTATACATTTTAGTATTGAATATGTTCAAAAATATCTAAAATATAAAAAAATATGCTAATACCGATGCAAAGTAAACTTGTTGACCAATTAAAACGTCTTTACATTTTTTAAATCGAACCACTAGAAGTACTTACATTTTTGTCAGTCGCTAAGGTCGTTTTGATGAAAAATTAATAGGGTTGTGCAGAGGCCTTAAAATAAATATTTTAACATGTATCCGTAAATATCTATACCTAAATCATGTAAAAAAAATTAATTAAAATTGTTATATGATAAATATGTTTCAAACTAACATGTTACACTTGTTTCTCTAAATTTAGATTGTCAAGTATTTACGCCATGTACAAAGAAAATTGCCTATCAATCGTAAATCACAAAAATAATAAAATATAGTATTATTATCATTGAACTCAAATTGTACATATCGGTAATTAATAATTTTATTGACCTGAATACGTGATTAACAGTGATCCTACTAAATCCTACCCGATCCCTACTATACAGTGGATCACTATCAGCTTTTTAATGTTAGTGTTCAACTATTTTTCATGTTCAGAAAATTTCATTGGAGACATTTTATATAATATATAAGGTTAGTCTATACATATTCAATTTTCATCTTAAGTTTTGTTCAACATCGAAAGTTTTTGATCAAAACTGTCTCAGAAGTTAAGCTACAAGCTGTTGAAACTATTTTCTGTAAATCGAATTTCTGTTAATTCTATAAATGAAATACTAGTGTAGGCACCTCTCACCTCCTCTCTACATTTGATTGTGTTGACGAAAATACAAACACTCGTAATCAT